CTTCGATAGAAGCTCTTCTAATAAAGAACTCCTGGAATGTGCAGCCTCTTCAGATGTAATTTCAGATGTTCTCAGAGCTTCTTCCAGCATCAAGGCTGCTCGGGGTCAGCCAAGACTCCTCCTGTGCCTTCAAGACAACCTCTCCATCTTCATCCCGCTGCCTCTGAGCTCCAGCTAAATGGACTTAACACAAAACACCCGCCCTGCGAAAGCCTAGTTAAAAATACAACATAACTGAATTGCTATCGATCCTGCATTTGGCGTGATCACGTTGACGGCTCAGCTGTCGGCAGAGAGATAAACATTTTCTTCTGGGGGTTGCCAAATAGGAGGCCACCGATTTTCTCAAGGTAACGGCTCCAGACTGGCATGTCCTGAGATGTTTGGTGGGTGTAAGATGCACGGAGTCGTGCTTTTAAAATTCAAGAGCCAAAGAGGAAGGTCCTACAGGAAGGAGGATTTAAAGCACTTTTTAAAAAAATTTGATTTATATGCCGCCCTTCTCCGGAGACTCAGGGTGGCTTACAATGCGCTAAGCAATAGCCTTCATCCTTTTTGTATATTTATACAAAGTCAGCTTATTGCCCCCACAACTGGGTCCTCAATTTACCTACCTTAGAAAGGATGGAAGGCTGAGTCAACCTTGAGCCTGGCGAGATTCGAACCTGCAGTAATTGCAGGCATTTTATTTTTCTTTTAGGGAGACTTTCTCAACATAGCCTGAAGTTCTTTAGGGGAGGGGAAAGGGGGGAGGGTATTCCACCTGGGCAGCATCCCTTGAAGACCATCAAGAAAGAAAGAAAGAAAGAAAGAAAGAAAGAAAGGAAGGAAGGAAGGAAGGAAGGAAGGAAGGAAGGAAGGAAAGAAAGAAAGAAAGGAAGGAAGGAAGGAAGGAAGGAAGGAAGGAAGGAAGGAAGGAAGGAAGGAAAGAAAGAAAGAAGGAAGGAAGAAGGAAGGAAGGAAGGAAGGAAGGAAGGAAGGAAGGAAGGAAGGAAGGAAGGAAGGAAAGAAAGAAAGAAAGAAAGAAAGAAAGAAAGAAACCAGAACACATCCTCTTCAGCAATCAGATAAGCAGGGATTAACACCAGACAAACAATCAAGCAGAAAACAATCATTGAGGAACTACCAAGGAGAAAAGCACGCCCAATGCTGGCAGAGCAAGCTATTATATATAAGCAGAGAGAAATCCCAGGGGTGAAATCCAGCAGGTTCTGACAGATTCTGGAGAACCGGTAGCGTGCTGGCAGGATGCTGTGGGGGGTCACATGCGTATGCAAGGGAGGAGGGGCGCATGTGCAGGGCCCTTGTGCGAATTGCATTTTGGGAGTTTGGGTGCACACATGTGCATTCGCATCCATGCCTGCGCGCACTTTGGGCACTTGGTCTGTCGTAGGCCGACATATTTGGAAAACATCAAATCGATGGTTTGTGGTCTTTTGTTTTCATGCTATGTGAGAAAGACCTTGAGAGACCAGGCCAAGAAATATTACTTAGGGAAGCGTCATATAAGAGAAAACATTGCCTGCAGCAGCTGCAGAGCGATCAAAGGAAGAGACTGAGAAGGGATCTTCTCTAGCTTCTTAAGAGATGGTGGGAGATCTGTGCAGTACAGTAGAATTAGCTCATCTGATCGCGTTTCCTGTCTAGGTTACCTGGGAAGTCTGACATTTTGCTACTCCTTGAGTGGATCTCTAGAGAGCCATCGCACCAGAGTGGATCAATACCCTGTCCAACTCCAACATCTCCCGTCTGCTTCCTCACTTTCCGTTCCTTCCGCAGCTCTTGGAGAATTGCCACGGAACTATCGATTTCTCGCAGAGTAAGAGAAAACCTTTTCAAGGTTTTCATGGTCGTAGCTGCAGCTTTTTGGACATGCAAGCACTGAAGCTTCCCACAAAGCAATTGATGAAAAGTTCTGGGCGCACAAGAGGAGGAGGAGGAGGAGGAGGAGGAGGAGGAGGAGGAGGAGGAGGAGGAGGAGGAGGGGAGGAAGCCCATTTGGCCATCCCAAAACCTACCTTTGTTTTTTCTCCATGCAGAAAAAAGAGAAACGGGGTGGAAAAAGAAGAAACACGATCAGCCGGTTTCTCTAGCCGAGAACAGTGCTGGTATTCAGCCGGTTCGTACCGGTTCAAGCGAACCGGTAGCAGAGAGCGCGGGTTTTCGAGGTGCATGCACAGAAGCCGTGTGCACAAGAAAAGTGCACGCGCGGAAGGCCAGGCACATGCATGGAAGGTCGGGTGCATATACAGAAGTGAGCGTGCGCGCAGGGTGAATCGGTGGTAAGAATATGTGAATCCCACTGCTGGCTGAGAACTGTGTTTCTCAACCTCAACAAGTGTAATGGTACATGAGAATGAACTTGGGAGACGGAGGAAGAGACACCACCAGTGGAGCGGCTGAATAAGAGGCAGCTTAGCCCACATCAGGAGTGTAGGAAACATCTCAGAAGGGACCCTCCCTAGTTTCATGACCTGTAAAGATGGGGTGGGGGAAATGTACTTTCAGGCTTGCAAGATTCTTTTTATTGTAACCTTCGAGTAAAAAAGAATCAATCCATCTGGTGGAGATTCCTGTTGGAGCTAGCTCACTAGGTTGACAGAAACTTTTAAGACGGGTGGGCTTCTACTCCTAGAATTGAAGCATGCTATGTGGGGGAATTCTGGGGGTTGAAGTCCACCCACAGCCATCAAGCCATGCCCACAGAACCGGTAGTAAAAATTTTTTGAATCCCACCACTGGTTGGGAGGGTTGACAATTCTTTTTAAGGCTTTGCGGTGTTTTAATCATTGCCCAGCACTGAGCAAGCGAAATACAGCAGCCAAAGAATGAGTTCTTCGACTTTAATCGGATGAGAGGAGGACAACGAGAAGCGGATACATCGCTTACGAGGCCTAATGATTTCACTTCGGTCTTGTGATGTTGGAGGAACTGCTCCTACCATAAATTTGCCTCCTACGGGGACCAAAGATCTATTGTATTAGCCCTACAATCACATTCCTTTCCATTCGCATCCGTTTCTTCCTCCCCGTCCCATGAACAAGAGAGATTTTGTGGCCCATCGAACAATGTCCATTGTCACTTCTTACAATCCTCTACGGCAGCCAGAGATAACTTGGCGTTCTTAAAATTTGAGCAGAATCTGGGCATTGAGTGTTGGGCACGTGGATTTGTTTAACCGGTTTGGTTGTGCAGAAGGGGGCATAAGTTGCTTTCTTCTTTATTGAGAGAGAGAATTGGAAGCTATTTGAAAATGGGCCGATAAAGGAAGAAGAGGGAGAGAGAGAGAAAAAACCCAGAGCAAGAAAAAGCAAATTGCACACAGTTGCATATTCTTAGCTCTTCCTCCAGGATTGAAGGAGATCTCATCAGAGTAGATTTAAAGGTAAGGCAAGAAGGGACGTTGAACTGGGATTTTTTAAAAATTCCATTTTTTAAAAAAAATAATGAAACCTGCGCGTAGCTGTACACACACAGGCACTTCAGATGCACAATCACCAAATTCTGTCTCTAAAACCCAAATTATCTTGCGTTAACACCCTCATCTCTGTCTCCCTCCCTCCCTCTTCCAGTCTCATCTACCTCTCTAAGTGCTGCAAATAACAGAAATGAGATACTGGCTTTGAAAAATGAGCGACGTTGCAATTGCATTAAATTTTAGAAACATCTTTGACCCCAGCAGAACGCAATATACTGTAAACCAACAGCACCACCTTGGGGTAAATCAGCGGAAGAATGGCGAATTCTGGGAGGTTAAAAATCCACAAGTCATAAAGTTGCCAAGGTTGAACACTCCTGGTTTAGATGGTGACAGCTCGGCGTCTTAAAATGAAACTTCGCGTGCTAGAAGGTCTACCTTCTCAGGTGAAATATTAAACCAGAATATTATAGCCCAAAGATAGGTACGAACCTTCTCTATTCTTAGACGAAGTGTTATTTGATTATGTGCCATTAAATTGGGGTCACATAGATAGCGCTCTCCTAAGCATACTGATGCAATGTGAATCTGTCGGCAATGTCGATTTTGCTCCCCGAATTCATGGGGAGCTAACCCTAAGGGGTTAGAAGAGAGTTGGAAGGGACCTTGGAGGTCCTCTAGTCCAACCCCCTGCTTAAGTTAGGCAGGAAACCCTACACCATTTCAGACAAAACGGTTATTCAACATCTTCTTAAAAAATTCCAGTGTTGGGAGCATCCACAACTTCTGCAGGCAAGTTGTTCCACTGATGAATTGTTCTGTCAGGAAATTCTTCCTTAATTCCAAGTTGCTTCTCTCCTTGATGAGTTTCCACCCGTTGCTTCTTGTCCTGCCCTCAGGTGCTTGGGAGAATAGCTTGACTCCCTCTTCTTTGGGGCAGCCCCTGAGATATTGGAACACTACTATCATGCTATTTAGCATAATAGCATTTAGTATTATTTAGCTATTTAGCTATGTGATTCTTAACTTTCGGGCCAAAATTTATATATATTTTAAAATGTTTTAATATTTGTATTCTATGTCTTTTTATCTTGGCTGTACACCGCCCTGAGTCCTCAGGGAGAAGGGCGGTATATAAATTGGAAATTAAATTAAATTAAATTAAATTAAATTAAATTTAGTATTATCCTCATGCAGTCATTATGTGACTCCATATGTTCCCGTTGACTTTACTTGTCCAAAGCCGGCTGAGAAGGACTCAAATGGCGATCACAGCCCTTTGGGATGCGGCAATTGTGAGGAACAACCTGCCAGTTGCCAAATGCCTGAATTTTGACCCTACAACGGGCAACAGTTGTAAGCCCGAACGTGGTTGCAAACTGCTTTTTGTTGTAGCTTCGAACTGTCACTAAGCAAAATCTTTGTAAGTCAAGGACTATCTGTAATGGGGACGTCAATTAGCTCAGATTCAAATCCGATCCCTCTCTTTGTTGAAAATTTAAATGAGTGAGTGAGTGAGTGAATGAATGAACGAACAAACGAATGCTTCACCCCTTTTCAAGAAAGCCACCAAGACAGACACTAGATTGGGAGCTTCTTTTATTGAAAACCAACAACCAAGTTAGTTATTAGAGAGAATCTTTCAAATCATAAAAGCACCCGGAGTTCCTTGTCTAAATATAAATAGTCTTCCATTTCCGCAGGAAACTTGAGAGGGGGGAAAAGGAGAAGAAAGGGGTGAAAGGAAAAAAAAATGGAAGGAGAGTTTGGGGCTCACGAGCTCTCAAGCTTTCTTCAAACCAAGATCAAGCCTGGAAAGCTGGTTACATTTGCCCCGTGAAGACCCAGCTCGTGGTCCACAGGGGCTCTGTGGTCATTTCATTTGCTGGGTTCCGAATCAAAATTATTAATATTTTGCAAGATGGAGAAGAGAAGGAGGTGGGAGCGAAGGAAACAAACCCTGTAAAATCCAAAGGCATGCATTTGAAGAAACAAACATTGAAGTACGAGAAGGAACTGGAGAGGCTCAGGGAGCGATGGCCGTACACCCTCTTGCTAAATCCAAAACCGGTAAGAAATAAAAATATTACAGATACCCAGCAGAAGCGTCAAAACTTGCTTCCCAAAGCCCATCTAATCTGATTAGACCAGAATGCCTCCAATTTAGCAACTTTTAGTTGCGTGGACTTCTACTCCCAGAATTCCCTCAGCCATGCTGGCTGAGGGAATTCTGGGAGTTATAGCAATCCACACACCTTCAAGGGGCCCAGGTTGAGAAACATAGCACTAGACTCAAAAGAAAAAAAAAATGCAGGAAACGTTTTCTACATTTGCTTCCAAAAAGGGCAGAGGTTAAAAAAAAAAAAAGGGGGACACAAACCAGAATAAGAACAGGTTGGAAAAACATCATGGGGGTATCTCAATTTTGGAAGCTGCCCACGACATTCGGTTCAAGGAATAGAGAGGTGGGGGCTTGGGGGGGGGTCATATCAGGTCTCTGACCAAGCCTGGAAACCCCCCCTCCCCCAAATCACATAGGATCACGTCAAAACCCAAAGTGGAGTCTTGTGAAGAGAATGGACGGAATAGTCCCCCACCCACCAAAATCATTCATGACCTGCAATTTATTGTTAATTTTTCTTAAAAAATTCTGCTTTTACTTATAGGTGACTTAAGGCGGTAGCAACTCTCCGAAGGGAAGGTCGAACATCTGGAAGGGAAGTTTATTTATTTGCCACCCATCTCATCTAAAGACATTAAGGCAGGGGTGAAATCCAGCAGGTTCTGAAGAACCGGCAGCGGAAATTTTGAGCAGTTTGGAGAACCAGTAGCAGAAATTTTGAGCAGTTTGTTTGGAGAACCAGTAGCAGAAATTTTGAGCCGTTTGGAGAATCAGTAGCAGAAATTTTGAGTAGTTTGGAGAACCGGTAGCAGAAATTTTGAGCAGTTTGGAGAACCGGTAGCAGAAATTTTGAGCAGTTTGGAGAACCGGTAGCAGAAATTTTGAGCAGTTTGGAGAACCGGTAGCAGAAATTTTGAGCAGTTTGGAGAACCGGTAGCAGAAATTTTGAGCAGTTTGGAGAACCGGTAGCAGAAATTTTGAGCAGTTTGGAGAACCGGTAGCAGAAATTTTGAGCAGTTTGGAGAACCGGTAGCAGAAATTTTGAGCAGTTTGGAGAACCGGTAGCAGAAATTTTGAGCAGTTTGGAGAACCGGTAGCAGAAATTTTGAGCAGTTTGGAGAACCGGTAGCAGAAATTTTGAGCAGTTTGGAGAACCGGTAGCAGAAATTTTGAGCAGTTTGGAGAACCGGTAGCAGAAATTTTGAGCAGTTTGGAGAACCGGTAGCAGAAATTTTGAGCAGTTTGGAGAACCGGTAGCAGAAATTTTGAGCAGTTTGGAGAACCGGTAGCAGAAATTTTGAGCAGTTTGGAGAACCGGTAGCAGAAATTTTGAGCAGTTTGGAGAACTGGCAAATACCACCTCTGGCTGGCCCCAGAGTGGGGTGGGAATGGAGATTTTGCAGTATCCTTCCCCTTCCACGGCCACCAAACCACACCCACAGAACCGGTAGTAAAAAAAATTGGATTTCACCACTGCGTTAAGGACACGGGTGGCCTTCAAATAATGAGGGAGAGGTTTGATCAGCAACTTAGACCTGTTAGGACAGCTCAACAAAAGCATCTTTAGAAGAGGCCCCAGGTACGAATAAATTTCTAGGGAGAAATTTAAATTTTTTTAAAAAAAATTTGATTTATATGCCGCCCTTCTCCGGAGACTCAGGGCGGCTTACAATGCGCTAAGCAATAGCCTTCATCCTTTTGTATATTTATACAAAGTCAGCTTATTGCCCCCACAACTGGGTCCTCAATTATTAGCCTAGAGACTTTAAAAACCCCTTGCAGGTGGGCAAGCTGATCCTGAAAAATATTATATTGTTTGAAAGACCAGCGTCTTTCAAAGCTGATAAGACATGAAAAACGTATTTTAAAAATCATCTTGCAGGAGGAGGGAGCAAGTCCCATCTGTTACATCGCCAAAGCTGAGATATTTTAAGGGATCAATAGGGACTAGCAACGCATTCAACCTCCAGTGGAAACGACTGTGGGTGAAGACCAAGTCATAGCTTGAGATGGCTATTTTTTCAGACTGGACGGATCAAATAATTAGGTAGATTTGTTCTTTGGCATCTGACTCATACACTCCTGACATTCAGCCCTTTCCAGTGTCCTTAAAATGGACTTTCCCCCCTCCATTTTTTCTTTCTTTCTGTCTTTTAACATTATCCTGCAAATTTCACCCACCGGTGCTTCCTCCCAAAACCTATTCTGCATCTATTCATCGTTTACACAAACATATACACACATTTAAAAGATAATTTACTTTTGGGGGGGAAAGCAGGAGGGGGAGAATTTATTGAAAAACAAAAAGTGTGAATTAAGCCACTGGTGACATTTGCTTTTGGGTAAGAAGAGCGAATATTTTCCTAGAAGCAAATCTGTCAAAGGGGAAGAATTCTCCACATTGCTTAAGAGTCCTTTGGAGGCGAGGAAAAAATATTTCATTTGTTCCCCGTTTTGAGAATCATTCACACGCCACCCATGTGCCTAAAGGTTGTTTTTTCCCCCCCCCCCTGCAGAAGTAAGATATAGATTTATCAATCAGAAATGGGCTCAGTGCAGGAAGCACATCTGTCGCAGTCCAAGCGTCTCCACTTCAATCCAGATGTTCTCGATCAGACAGAAAAAGCCATCCACCTTAACCACCATGGTTCTAGCATGGCTAACGCCAAGTTGTGGTGCGTGGGTGTGAACCCAGGTCTTGTAGCTTCCCAAACCATGATGGATAGATCTTGGTTGCAATCTCATCAGCTTCATTGCGACGGCGAGGGCTTGAATTGGTGTGAACGTAAATCATGGGACAATTCATTCACCGTTGGGTTCGCACAGTAGGCTAAATTACTACACCGTTGGCGCCGAAGAACAAAAAGTGTGCAAAACCTGGATTTTGTGGAGGGGCAGCGGACAGGGAAGTGAGCTTCTGGGTGGACCCGTCTTGCAGCTAAGGAGTGATGGGGAAGACTGGACTTCTTAAAGTAAGGTAGATCCCTCCAACTTCTTGGTGAACTTCCTAGTTCCAACAGTCCAGGAAAGGATGACGAGAGTTGAAAGAAAGTAGGAATCAGCTCACCGGATCAATAATGCTTCCCAATTTCAGTGCAGTTAAAGTGATCCAGGCTAAATCCATCTCTCCTGAAACCCATTGGGGACCATTTCATTTTTTAATTAACATTTTCGACCTCCAGCGATGTCTCCAGAGATGAGACCCCTCCCCCAAAATAGCTGAATGTTTTGGGGTGAGGGGGGGGGCTCAGTACATGTCTTTTAAAGGTGAGACGTACATCAGAACATCCGAATGTTTGAAAAGCGCAACGAAGTTTGAAAAGACACTTGATCTTCAGGGTGTTGATATCAAAACTAGCAAATATCATCTTCGTATATGAATTTGTTGAAGGCCACAAAACTGGGCTGTAAATTCTTTTCAGGAGAGGGTTTTTGGTTTTTTGTTTTTTTTTTGGATAGGGGTGGGGGGGGGGGAAAGGGAAATTATTCCTCCAGAACAGCTTTTCAACTTTACGATCTGTGGACTTCATCTCCAAGAATCCCCCCCCTCGCCAGCCTGCTTTTGAAGAATTCTGAGCGTTGAAAGTCGTCCCCCATCTTAAAATTGCTGAAATTGAGGAATACTGCCGCAGAGTTTTTTTAAAAAAGAGAGAGGGAGAGAAAGAAAGAGAGAACTGCAAAAAAATAGAACTCCTCCTCCCAGAAACTACTAGAACCGTCTTGATTTTCTACAGAAAGAGATTTTTTTGTTTTCTTTTTGGAAATTGCAAAGCGTTAAAAAGCCGACACAAGATTCTTCTTAGCAGCAGCATCCGCAGGTAGCTGTTGAAAGGGATGGAGGATTTTGCATTAAGTCTAGAAAACCTCAGAGTGTCCACAGTTGCATTTTTGGAGGGGGGGGGGTAGGAAAGGTTTACTGAGGGGAACAGGCGAAAATTCAACCTCGGCAGCGAGAAAGGGCAGTGAAGAATTTCAAGGACCGACCTCAGGTCCTCCGCAAACAGCATTCCGAAATTAGATTTCTTCGCGCGAGGGGGGTGGGGGGGCACCCCAGCCGCCACGGCTTCTCTCTCTCTCACGCTCTCTCTTTTGAAGACACGAAAGGGAGGTTAAATAGGGCTGAGGGAGGTTGCCGGCAAAGACATTCAATCTGTTTTGTGCAAACCGCCCGGTAATGCGAAGAAGTTTTCAAACTGCCTCTGTTCTTCCCCACCGGGAGAAAGGAGGACGATGCTACTCCAGTTTATTTGGCACGATGGCGAGGTTTGGGGGAGAAAGGAAGCGGGGAGAAGTTTAAGAGTCTTCCCCGAGGATTTCCGTGACGAAGGAAGCCATCTCGGTCACTTTGGTGTCGTGGAGAGTGAAGAAGGGGTGATCCTGTCGGAGAAAGAGGACAATAAGTGTGTGTGTGTGGGGGGGGGTGTTAGTTGTGGCAGTGAGGAGGAGAAAAGGAAAAAGAGGAGGAGGAGGGGGGGAAGGGGAAGGAGGAGAAATGGAGGGGGAGGGGGAGGAGAAGAAGGAGGAAGAGGAGGAGGAGGAGAACGGGAAGGAGGAGAAGTAGAGGAGGAGAGGAGGAGGAGAAGGAGAAGGAGGAGAAGTAGAGATGGAAGAAGAGGAGGAGAAGGGGAAGGAGGAGGAGAAGTGGAGGAGAAGAGGAAAAGGAGGAGGAGGAAAAGTGGAAGGAGGAGAAGTGGAGGTGGAGGAGAAGGAGAAGAAAGAGGAGGAGAATGGGAAGGAGGAGAAGGAGAGGAGGAGGAGAAGGAGAAGGAGAAGGAGGAGGATGGGAAGGAGGAGAAGGAGAAGGGCAAGGAGGAGAAGTGCAGGTGGAGGAGGAGGAGGAGGGGAAGGGGAAGGAGAAGGCAGAGGAGGAAGAAGAGAAGGGGAAGGAGAAGAAGAAGAGGAGGAGGAGGAGAAGAAACTAAGGTTGCCTTGCACTTCACCTGCTGGAATCTGAATAAAACAATTTAGAACTGGGCTATAAGAAAGAAAATCAACTCACCATCATCTCTAAGTAGCTCATTCGTTCAGCCGGATTCTTCCTCAGACTGGAAAGAAAAGACACTCAGAACATTACTAATCCAAGCTTAAAGATTTATCATTGGAACAACAGAAATACCCACTGCACGAAAGCCAGCTGGGTGACTTTGGGCCAATCTCCAGGAGACTGGGAGTTCTAGTCCCGCCTTAGGCACGAAAGACGGCTGGGTGACTTTGGGCCAATCTCCAAGAGACCATGAGACAACCTAAAGGGACTTACCACTGGGCAGTCAAGTCGACAAAGTCTTTGGAGAAGCGATCGGCTGGGAGCTGGGGAGACGGTTCTTCCACAACCTGTTTAAGTTGCTGGAAGGGGGTCCCCCAGGAGTCGTAGGGGAAACGGAGAATGGCCATCTCGATCTGGAGGGAGACAAAGATTGGATTCCAACAGAAGAGAACATTTGTAGCTCAGGGCTGAACTCTGGGGGTCCTTGGTGCTCTCTGAGCTCGGTGGCTTCCTTGTAAACGTTTCAAGAACCAATTAGATAACATCATCAGTGTTAAGAGGAGTGGGGTTTACAAGGAAGAGGAGGAGGAGGAGGAGGAGGAGGAGGAGGAGGAGGAGGAGGAGGAGGAGGAGGAGAACTGTGGGGTCCTTAGTGCATTTCTGAACTTGGTGGCTTCCTTGCAGACATTTAATGACCCAACTAGATAACATCATCAGTACTGGGTGGAGTGGGAGTGGAAGGAGGACGAAAACTATGGAATCCTTTGTGTTCCCTGAACTTGGCGGCTTCCTTGCAGACATTTCATGGCCCATGTCATGAACATCATCAGTGCTGGACGTTTTCTCACAGGACAAAATCCCACTCCCTTCTATCACTGATGATGTTCCCTAGTTGGGTCATGAAACGTCTTCCAAGGAATCCATGGAGCTCAGAGAACGACCAGGACCCCCACTAAGATTGGATTTATCCACAATCTGGCTTCCTACGACAGCCGGGGAGAGAGGGTGGAGGGAAGCCCACAAGGGAGACCCGATCCGAGGAAACTCCCCTAGCTGCCATTGCCGGATCTCTAATCCGTACTAACTCCAAAGCACAGCATGTGACTAGTCCTTATGCTTTCTGGCCTTGCCGTTCCCCACCATCGCCTTGATTTCTTACCAAAGTGATCCCAAGGCTCCAAACGTCAGATTTCACATTATACCCCTTCTGGTTTAGCTCTGGATTAATTCTTTCGGGCTGCAGAGGGAGAATAAAAGGCAAATTAAAATCAGAGGAAAGAAGAAAACAGGATAAAAGGACTGGATTGTCCTCCCTCAAAACTCACATGCGTGTGTCCCCGCAACGCAGGAGTGGGATTCAAAAATTTCAGCAACCGCTTCGTTGCCCGGTTGCTGGGTGGGCGTGGCCATGGGGGCGTGGCCTTCTCGGCCTCCTGCATCATGGGGGGGGAGGGCGTTTTTGCCCTCCCCAGGCTCCGGAGGCTTTCCTGGAGCCTTCAGGAGGTGAAAATGGCCTCCCCCGGGCACTGGAGGCCCTCCAGAGGCCAGAAATGGGCCCTTTTCCAGACTTCCAGTAGGCCCGTTTTTCACCCACCCCAGGCTCCTTTCCTGGAGCCTCCAGGAGGGCAAAAACAGCCTCCTATGGGCTCCAAAGGCTCTCCGGAGGCCGAAAATGGGCCCATTTCCAGACTTCCGGTACTTCCAGTAGGGCCATTTTCGCCCTCCCCAGGCTCTGGAGGCTTTCCTCGAGCCTCCAAGAGGGCAAAAACAGCCTCCCCCAGGCATCGGAGTCCCTCCGGAGCCTGGAAACAGGCCCGTTTCCGGACTTCCAGTAGGCCCATTCTTTGACCTCCAAGAGCCTCCCCACGTGCCCGGCACCTCCCTGGCATCCAAAACGGGCCGTATGGATACACCTGGGAGGCGGGGAGCAGGAGGACAGCGTCTGGCAGTCCTTGGAACAACCGGTTCGGCGAACCAGATTAAAATTAACACCAGTCTGAACCGGCTGAATCCCACCTCTGCCACAACGGACTCCTCCCTCCACACCCCTAACTGCCCCCACACTCACAGCCATGTAAGGTTTGCAGCCGGCATCCAACGTTTTAGCCACCGAATCCACCAGGTAACCGCTGATTCCAAAATCACACATTTTGACGTGTCCCTGTTTATTGATCAAGACATTGGACGGCTTCACATCTGTAAAGAAGGGAAGAGAAACAGCCTGGGATCATAAATGCTTTTTTAAAAAATTTTTTGCATAGGTTAAAAAAAAGTTCTCGACGGACGACCGCAATGGAGGCCAAAATTCCAAATGAGACACTTGGTTCAGTGAGTTTTGCCCTATTTCGCGACCTTTCTTGCCACAGACGTTAAGTGAATCGCTGCAGTTGTTAAGTGAGTAACACGGTTGTTAAGTGAATCTGGTTTCCCCGCTGACTTTGCTTGTCAGATGGTCGCAAAAGGGGATCATGTGGCCCTGGGACAACTGAGGAGTCCTTGGTGCTCTCTCTGAGCTGGCTTGTTTTCTTGCAGACGTTTTATGACCCAACTAGGTAACATCATCAGTGCTAGAAGCAGGTGGGATTTGTGCAGAGGAGGAGGAAAGGGGTCAGGAGGAGGAAGAGGACGACTGTGGAGTCCTCAGTGCTCTCTGAGCTTGGTTGTTTTCTTGCAGACGTTTCATGACCCAACTAGGGAACATCATCCGGGCTAGTCCTTCATCACTAGCACTGATGATGTTACCTAGTTGGGTCATAAAACGTTTGCAAGAAAACAACCAAGCTGAGAGAGCACCGAGGACCCCTCTTCAACCCTGAGCTACAAATATTCTCCTTTATTAGTTGTCACAAACACATGCCAGTTATCGAGTGTCCAAATTTCGCTCGTGTGACCGCAGGGAATGCTTCAAGGGTCATGTGAAAAATGGTTGTAAAAGTCTTTTTTTTTTTCAGGGCCACTGTAACTTTGAACCGTCGCTAAATGAAACTGTTGTAAGTCAAGGACAACCTGTACTCCCTCTGGAAGGAAGGCACAGCCGCCATCGTACGATTTCCCACTTAGTGAAGTGTTTTACTTAGTGATGGAGTTGCCCGTCCCACTGGTGGTCACTAAATGAGGACGGCCTATAATTTAACCGAAGGATCTACGCTCGAATCTGGGCCCCACCTGTGTTAGTGACCCCTCAGCTGCTTTCTCTGTCATACTGATGGGATCTGCAATTAAAACGTACCTCTGTGGATCACCGACAATTTACTATGGAGGTGCTCCAGCGCTCGCACAATCTGGACAGAAAAGAGAGAAACAGCAGATGCCCGTCAGTTGTGGGACTCTTCTCACAACTACACACTTTTTAGCAGCTGCTTAAATCAGGGGTCTCCAACCTTGGCAACTTTAAGCCTGGTGGACTTCTACTCCCAGAATTCCCCAGCCAGCAAGGCTTTTAATTCCATTTTTCCAATCTCAAATACCCCCTTCAAACTCTGTTACTTTTATACAAGCATTGCAACAGATCGAAAATGGATCCTTGACTCGCGCATGAAGAAACATTAGAAATTGCTGTCTTGTTTTGTTTATTTGTCGATTAAATTTTATATTCGTCCGTCTCCGATAGGGCGATTCTGGGTGGCTTAAAGTATAGGTTCCCCTCGCACATAGGTGCTAGTCGTTCCTGACTCTAGGGGGCGGTGCTCCTCTCCGTTTCAAAGCCGAAGAGCCAGTGCTGTCTGAAGACGTCTCCGTGGTCATGTGGCCGGCATGACTCAACGCCAGAGGCACACGGAACGCTGTTATCTTCCCACCAAAGGTGGTCCCTATTTTTCTATTTGCATTTTTTACGTGCTTTTGAACTGCTAGGTTGGCAGAAGCTGGGACAAGACACGGGAGCTCATCCAATTACGCGACACTAGGGATTCGAACCGCTGAACTGCCGACCTTTCGATCAACAAAAAAACGGGATGGGCAGAGGGTTTGGGAGGCCTGCAGAATGCTCCTAGTGGCTGGGGAGGGCAAAAAACGGACGCGCGGAGGCCAAAATCTATTTCTTTTCTTCTTTTTCTCTTCGAAATCTTCATGTGTCTTATACTCCGGTGTGTCTTAGAGTCCGAAAAATACGGTATGTTTAATTGTATCGATCATTGACATTTTTCTTTCCTGTGATAAGTTGTCGTAGGGGCCCCAGTACACTGCTTTGCCTGGGGCCTATAATGCTGTTAAGACAGCCCTGGGCATGAAGTGAGGCAGGTAAAGGTAACACTCACGGCTACAGCTATTTTTCCTAGGATATCTTCAGGAATAGTCTTCTTCTTTTCCAGAACCTTCTTATAAAATTTATCCAGAGAGGTGTCCATCAATTCCATGCAGATCCATACATCGCCCTGAGAACCAAAAGAAAAAAAATTATTCCTTCAAAAATTATATGAAGTCCCCAAGAATGCTATGCCCCCTAAGAAACTGGCAAAAATGTTTAAAGGTAAATCAGCTAAATGTTGGAAATGTCACCAGGAACTTATTATCATATGTGGTGGACATGTCCAGAAGCTAAAAACTATTGGAATAAAATTAAGACATGGTTGGAAGAAATGACACAACAACGTATTGATTTAAAACCAGAGCTGTTCCTACTGGATAGCCTTCCAGAGAAAATTGGCAAAGAAAATACTTATTTGATTATACATGTAATAACAGCTGCAAGGATTGTTTTTGCACAAAATTGGAAAGCAGAGAAAATACCAGAAATAGCCTGCAGTGCTGCACTCTAACCACTGCGCCACTGTGGCTTAAGAACTGCAGTGATTCACTTAACTGTTGGTTGTAAAATGGAGCAAAACTCACTTAACAAAGGTCTCACTTAGCAGCAGAAATTTTGGGCTCTGTTGCGGTCGTAAACTGAGGGCTGCCTGTATTTGAACCTAGAGCGGCTTTCACCAGGGAGTTAGGAAGGCTCCTGGATTTCTTTTTGATACCTCTCTGAAAAGAGCTCCGTAAAATGTGACCGTGTAGAAGCAGTCCACTGTCCTCATGGAGACATCCAGATCCATCACCAACCTCTTCTGCTCCTGAGTATTCACAGTGGCTCGGATCCTCTGGATTGGAAGCAAAAAGGATACCGATCGGTGGTGGAGCACGGGAAGGAATAACAACCCCTTCCTCACCTCAAGACAACGGACCACAATGCCCAGAATTCCACACTGACGGCTCTGCTGGGTGGGGGATTCTGGGAGTTGGCTGTCCACTATTTCCAAGATGGAGCAATGCTGATATTTATTTATTAATTAATTAATTAATTAATTAATTAATTAATTAATTAATTATAAATCAATGGTGAACTACCAAATATTCCGTCCTGGTTTGTTTTCCCCACAACAACAACTTGGAGAAGTTGGTGGGGCTGAGAGGGAGGGACCGGCAAGGTCAGCCAGTGGGTTATTATGCCTAAGGCGGGATTAGAACTCCCAGTCTCCTGATGATTGGCCCAAAGCCACCCAGCTGACTTTCGTGCCTAAGGCGGGACTAGAACTCCCAGTCTCCTGGTGATTGGCCCAAAGCCACCCAGCTGACTTTCGTGCCTAAGGCGGGACTAGAACTCCTAGTCTCCTGGTGATTGGCCCAAAGCCACCCAGCTGACTTTCGTGCCTAAGGCGGGACTAGAACTCCCGGTCTCCTGGTGATTGGCCCAAAGTCACCCAGCTGACTTTCGTGCCTAAGGTGGGACTAGAACTCCCAGTCTCCTGGTGATTGGCTCCAAGTTACCCAGCTGACTTTCGTGCCTAAGGCGGGACTAGAACTCCCAGTCTCCTGGTGATTGTCCGAGCCACCCAGCTGGCTTTCCTGACTAAGGTAATACTAGAACGCCCTGTCTCCTGGTGATTGACCCAAATTCATCCAACCGGCTTTCCTGACTAAGGCAATACTAGAACTCCCTGTCTCCTGGTGATTTGACCCAAAGTCACCAAATTGGCTTTTGTGCCAAGGCAGTACCAGAATTCCCCATCGCCCAGCCTCTAGGCCAACACCTGTCCTAGTCCGATCTCCCTTGACGGTTGACCATGCAACCCGCTAGGTCCAAATATTTTGAGCCCTTTTGCTCAGGTTCTCACCTTCACAGCCATGATTGTGTCGCTCTTCGCGTGATGCACTTTCTCCACCACCCCGTAAGCGCCTCTGCCCAGTTCGGAGATGCTCACCAAGTCATCGGCTTCAACTTCAAAGTTCTGCAGATCGGACGAGACGGATGCAAAAACAGAGACCAACAGGTTAAGAACATAGAAACAGGTCTCGTGTGTCCTACGCGCCCAACAAACCATCCCAAACACACTTCAAGGCACAACATTCCACCCACTCAAGTCAATTTATTGCCATCAGCAATCTGGAAACCACAGAAAACATCCTTCAAAAAGGAAAAATAACCGTGTTCTGACTTTCATGTGGAATTCTGGGAGTTGAAGTCCACGCTGCTGAAAACGTGAGCTTCTAAAGTAAAGGTAAAGGTAAAGGTTCCCCTCGCACATAGGTGCTAGTCGTTCCTGACTCTAGGGGGCAGTGCTCATCTCCATTTCAAAGCCGAAGAGCCAGCGCTGTCCGAAGACGTCTCCGTGGTCACGTAGCCGGCATGACTCAACGCCAAAGGCGCACGGAACGCTGTTCCCTTCCCACCAAAGGTGGTCCCTATTTTTCTACTTGCATTTTTTTTATGTGCTTTCGAACTGCTAGGTTGGCAGGAGCTGGGACAAGGAACGGGAGCTCACCCCATTACGCGACACTAGGGATTCGAACCACCGACCTTCCGATTGACAAGCTCAGCATCTAAGCCACTGAGCCACTGCATCCCAATCCTCCACTTCATAGAGCAAGATAGAAAAGTTTTTCCAACATTGCAACTATTCAGCACACAGGTAATGATGGATCTCCCTTGAAGAATTTTTCCTCAAATGCACAGGGGGGGAAAAGCAAAGCAGGAGATCCAGGGAAGGATCTGGTATTAACCCCCCCAGACAACTTCAGACATTTAACACTGATATTTTTGATGGCTTGGCCTTCCGGCTTGGAAGAAGGAAGCAATCTCTGTGTCTAAAACTAAAGTCGTTATTCTTTGACTGACCGTTGATGAGGCAGCTTGTAACCAGAAACCAGCAGCTATTTCTAGCTGGTGTAAGTTGTGAGGGTCACACAAACTCCCAAGAGTCCAAGCTGGGTCACCCCCCCCCCACAGCCAATGAAAAGCTTCCAAAGGCAGGAATAGAAAAGGCTGTTGGGAGGAAGAAGGAAGGTGACCTCAAGTGACCCATCTATGAGGTCAGGCCAGGCCCACAAAAGAGGAATATGGAGGAGGAGGAGGTACGTACAAGAGCACTGAAGTCAGGTTCTACAGAAAACAAGAGGTATGAAAGGAAAAACCTGGGTTGGGTTGCCCTTAAGTGCTTAAGATACTGGGAAACCTTAGAAGAACATTCTTCCAGAAGTTCTGGAGATGTTATCAAGCAAGCTTCCTGGAATAGGATGGATTCTCACCCACCTTGTGGGTAACTACGGCTGGTGCAAGGCTGATACAACCTACACAGCTAGTACTCATGGTCTACAACACTGTTTTTCAAACTTGCCCATTTTAAGATTGGATTTCAACTCCCAGAATACCCCACAACCAGCATGTTGGGAGTTGAAGTCCATACGTCTTAAAAAGTGGTCAAGTTTGAACAACAGCGGTCTATGAATGTGAGAAGAAGTTACCTTGCTAAGTAAAAACTAAGCAACCAGCCAACCTTGTTCCTTTGTCATGTATTTTTTTTTATAAAAAGTTTTTTTTTATTTTTTCTCTTCATAACAAACATTGCATCATTGATCGATCAGTGCGTCATCTGGGTACAATTTTTTGGTGTCATCATATTTAACGCTTACCACCATTTTCTTAATGTGCGTATCTTTACTTTTACATTTCAATTTGTTATATCTCCTGCTAAAGCATTTTCCTTCCAAATTTATTTAATTTTATACCACTTTTTGTCCATATTCATTTGCCACCCAATGATAAAACTGCCCCCGTGTGTTAAAATACTCCGATTCTTCCTTCCCTTTAATTTTGTTCCTTTGTCGTGTTATGGGACCACAAGGAGAACCTCAACAAGAAGATGGTGAAAGCACCATACCTTGGATGTTGTCCCAACTGGGCAAAACACAAGTTTTTGTCTACACAAAGAAACACTCGTATGGAGGTGGCACTATCACAACCCACGTCCTTGCAGTTGTGAGCCTCTCCGCATCGCTACCTTTTGGAGTTTCACGAGACGCGCAAGATAAAACAGTAAATCAAGGAATGCTGAAGAAGGAAAGGTCAAAAGCTTGGATAGAGGACAGGAGGAAAACCAGACATACCTTTTCTCCAATTGTGATAAAAGTCCTGGAATCCAAGTTCCTTGGAGGTCTGTAGAAGAAACAAAGAAAAGAATTCAATCCGGTCCCAAAATGGTCCTGGAGAAGTCCTTGCCAGAAACCCAGGGCCCATCTTCTAGGCCCGTGATGGTGGGCACCGGAGTGTTGCCCTAGCTCAGCTCTGGTATGCATGTGCGTGCCAGCCAGCTGATTTTTGGGCCACCGGAAGGTCCACCGGAAGTCGGGAAAGGCCCATTTCCAGCCTCCAGAGGGAGTAGGGAAGGCTGTTTTTGCCCTCCCCAGGCTCCTAGAAAGGCTAGGAGGGCAAAAAATGGGCCCACTGGGACATCATGTGCCAAAAGCAAGGGGGAGCCAATGCGCAGGGTGGGACGCATTGAATTACGGGTGTGGGCATGCCCGCGTGCGACCCCCCCCACGCTCCCCCCACTTTTGGCACGCGACGGCAAAAAGGTTAGCCATCACTGTCCTAGGCTCTAGCATGGAAAAAAGAAAACAAGATGAAAATATAATCCATCGAGCTGCGGCTTTCGCTGATAAATCAGGCAGCCCAAGGTGAAGACACAATTCATCCTTTCTCACGTTCTCGCATTACAACAAAACTCCCATTTAACAGGCTGTTTGGGAGAGCCAGGCAGTCCGTTAAATCCAAATGATTGCAATGGATGTTCCTTATGTGCAGTTATGTAATTGAAACGTTTGACCTCAGATGCCCCGGCTTACATCATTGGGTTCAACAAGTCCTTGACGTCACCTAACCACACGAGTGACATAAATGGAGGCAAAGGATGTGAAAACATCAATTATCTCATTATGTAATTGGATGTCCCCGACATTAAATGACGCCGATTGTCCAGGCTGATTCAGAAACAACGGACTGTGGGAGGGATCATGCCTCAAAGAACATTTTCTTCATTCCATCTCGCACTTCACTAATCGGAGATCCGGAGAAAACAACTTGACTTGCATTCATTTTGATTTTTATCTCGTTCAGAAAATATCAGGGTGGCTTCTCATAAACTTTCAGCATCTTTAAGATCAACGCTTCAATTCGAAACGGCGTTCGGCCAAACGCCGTTTGAATTTTTACAGGGGATCCTCCGCTTACGACCACAACGAAAGCCAAAAATTCCTGTCGCTAAGTGAGACATTTGTTAAGTGAGTTTTGTCCCATTTTTACAACCTTTCGTGCCACAGTTGTTAAGCAAACCGCTGCAGTTCTTAAGCTTCTCCATTGACTTTGCTTGTCCGGTCACAAAAAGTGATCACATGACCCTGGGATACTGCAACTGTCATAAGTACATGCCAGTTGCCAAGAGGTTGAAATCTGATCACATGACCACCGGAAGGCTGCAATGGTCGTAAGAGTGAAAAACGGCCCTTAGCCAGTGATAGGTTGCTCCCGGTTCGCACCGGTTCACAAGAACTGGTAGTAAAAATTTGTATTAGTTTGGAGAACCGGTAATAACATTGGCTGGCCATGCCCCCGAACCGGTCCCCGGCCCGGTCGCCACTCACTTACCCCGCCCACCTCATCAGCGGCCTTTTTTAAAATTATTTTTAAAAGCATTTTTTCTACAACCTCTTCGGCCGAAAAAATGCTTTTAAAAGTAAAAAAAAAGCCTCCGATGATCGCATGGCTCAGCTGGGATCGTCAGAGGCTTTTAAAATCATTTTTTCTACGACCTCTTCAGCCGAAGAGGTTGTAGGGGGAAAAAAATGCCTTTAAAAGCCTCTGACGATCCCAGCTGAGTTGCCTGATCGTCGGAGGCTTCTAAAAGCATTTTTTTCCTGCAACCTCTTAAGGTTGTAGAAAAAATGCTTTTAAAAGTAAAAAAAAAAGTTGGCCATGCCCACCCAGTCACATTACCCCCCCACCAAGCCACGCCCACAAAATAAGCCACGCCCACAGAACCGGTAGTAAAAAAATTTAGACCCCACCCCTGCCCTAAGCCACTTTTTTTTCAGCGCCGTTGCAACTTGGAATGGTCACTAACTCGAGGACTACCTGAACTCGTCAGGAATCTTTTAAAAGAGGTGAAATAGATCTTACGTTGCAGGGACCGCTGACTGTTTATTAACCGACGGCATCCTTAATATGGGTGGCCTTTTCTTCTTTGGACCTAAAAGAAAAAGGACGTTTTTAAATAAACGATCTGCTTGAGAAGACAAAGTTTCTGTTCATATACAGTGCTAGTCTGTTCAATTGTGGGGTTTTTTTTAAACACACACACACATACACACACACAACAGGGGCTGGCTTCAAATATTTTAGCAAGGGGTTCTCTGCCTGGTTGCTGGATGGGTGTGGCCATGGTGGGCGTGGCCTAGTTAGTCTCCTGCACCATGGCGGATGGGGGGGGGCGTTTTTGCCCTCCCCGGGCTCCAGGGACTTTCTTTGAGCTTCCGGGAGGGCAAAAACGGCCTCCCCAGGCTCTGGAGGCCCTCTGGAGGCCAGAAACGGGCCCCGTTTTTCGCCCTCCCCGAGCCTCCATGCGCGCCCTGTATTTACCTGTATCCAAAACGGGCCGTGTGGGGACTCCTGGAAGGGGAAGGGAGGGGCGAGCCCAGCCAAGAGTGGGATTTGGGGGTTCTCCGAACTGCACAGAATCTTAGCTAGAGGTTCTCCCGAACCCCTGCGAACCCCCAGCACGCACACGCGCAGAGTTGCGTTTACATCATGCGCTAAACCGAACCGGTCGCATGGGTGAATCAGGACTATGAGAAGTGATGCAAAATGAGGGGTGGGCTATGAAGACCTCATCTAAGTCAAAATGCTTTCCACCCCGGTTGTTGCCGCATTGGCTTCACTGTCTCACAGCCCAGCCCACCTGGCAAGGCTGTTGAGAGGATAAAAATAGGTGAGAGAACTCACCTAGTCCTTTCTTCCTATTCCATTCAGACGAGACCTACCCGATTCCTGACAACGTATGAAGAACGGTTGCAGGAACTGGGTATGTCTAGTTTAATGAAAAGAAGGACTAGAGGAGACATGATAGCAGTCTTCCAATATCTCAGGGGCTGCCCCAAAGAAGAGGAAGTCAAGCTATTCTCCAAAGCACCTGAAGGCAGGACAAGAAGCAATGGGTGGAAACTAACCAAGGAGAGAAGCAACCTAGAACTAAGGAGAAACTTCCTGACAGTGAGAACAATTAATCAGTGGAACGACTTGCCACCAGAAGTTGTGAATGCCTCAACACTGGAGGTTTTTAAGAAGATGTTGGATAACCATTTGTCTGAAGTGGTGTAGGGTTTCCTGCCTAAGCAGGGGTTTGGACTAGAAGACCTCCAAGGTCCCTTCCCGCTCTGTTCGTCTCCATTTCCATTTCCAAAGAATGAAGAAGTTTGCTTCTAACTCTCAGATATTGTAGGCAGGCCAAGCAAGAGATTTTCAGCAGTGGAGGGATTTTTTTTTTTTTAAAGTAGACTTCACTTACCAACTTTTCGCTTTTCCAAGGATCCTTTGGGATCTGCAAGAGAAGAGAGGGGAGGTTAGGTTAGGAAAGAGCTGTTGTTAAAAAAAAAAAAAAAAAAAGAAGCCAGAATAACTGGGCTGATGATAAGCAGGTAAAAGCCCAGGAAGGAAATACTTCTGTGAGACCAATAAAATTTTTGCAAGAAGTTTTGTCAGATTCCACGTTGGCCAAATCCTTCACACAGCCAATCTGGAAGCCAAATTCTGAAGTCCTCTATCTATCTATCATCTATCATCCATCCATCCATCCATCCATCCATCTATCATCTATCTATCTATCTATCTATCTATCTATCTATCTATCTATCTATCATCTATCTATCATCTATCCATCCATCCATCCATCCATCCATCCATCCATCATCTATCTATCTATCTATCTATCTATCTATCTATCTATCTATCTATCTATCTATCATCTATCTATCATCTATCATCTATCTATCCATCCATCCATCCATCCATCCATCCATTTATTTTGTTGAGTATGTATTAGATAATATATATAAATATAAGCATGAATTGAATACATAAACTGAATACAATTAAAGGGAAATATTAGGACAGGGACGGTAGGCACGCTGGTGCACTTATGCACGCCCCCTTAGAGATCTCTTAGGAATGGGGTGAGGTCAACAGTAGACAGTCTAAGGTTAAAGTTTTGAGGGTTTTGGGATGAGACCACAGAGTCAGGTAGTGCATTCCAGGCATTGACCACTCTGTTGCTGAAGTCATATTTTCTGCAATCGAGTCTGGAGCGGTTCACTTTAAGTTTGTATCTATTGTGTGCTCGTGTATTGTTGTGGTTGAAGTAGTCATTGACAGGTAGGACACTGTAGCAGATGATTTTATGAGCTATGCTTAGGTCAGACCAAAGTTCTAAATTTTCTAAACCCAGAATTTCAAGCCTGGTAGCCTAAGGTATACCGGAGAAGAAACCATAACAGTGTTTTCTACATAAATATGGTTTGATTTTGTTTGTTTGCATCCACTGAACCAGTCTGTAGCTTTGGCCTAGGCCAGGGAAACCTCTACAGCCAGCAGCTGTTCTAAATCCGAGACTTGCTTGTCCTACTTGAACGTTGGCCAACTTTCGTGCTTCTTGCGTTCCAATTCTGACATGATCAGAACCACTAGAGGTCCTTCCGTGGCTGGAATTTCAGAAGCCAGACCCGGAAGGTGCAAAAGACTTCTTGTGGGTTCCCACAAGGAAATTTTGACTCTGTATTTAAAAAAATAAAAATCAAGAAAAGAGGGAAGGAGGGAAGGAAGGAAGGAAAGAAGTTAGTTATGATGGAGGGAGGAAGGGAGGAAAGGAAGGAAGGAAAGAAGTTAGTTATGATGGAGGGAGGAAAGGAAGGAAGGAAAGAAGTTAGTTATGATGGAGGGAGGGAGGGGGGAAAGGAAGGAAGGAAAGAAGTTAGTTATGATGGCGGGAGGGAGGGAAGGCAGGAAGGAAGTTATGATGGAGGAAGGGAGGAAAGGAAGGAAGGAAAGAAGTTAGTTATGATGGAGGGAGGGAGGGAGGAAAGGAAGGAAGGAAGGAAGTTATGATGGAGGGAGGGACGGAGGGAAGGAAGGAAGGAAAGAAGTTAGTTATGATGGAGGGAGGAAGGGAGGAAAGGAAGGAAGGAAGGAAAGAAGTTAGTTATGATGGAGAGAGGGAGGGAGGAAAGGAAGGAAGGAAGTTATGATGGAGGGAGGGAGGGAGGGAAGGAAGGAAAGAAATTAGTTAGGATGCAGGGAGGAGGGAGGAACCAAGAACCCCAGAATGTTGATTGCAATTGACAACAATTTGCAAATCTGGGTATTTTGTATAACTACTAGGAAATTTAGAGTATGAAGCAAAAGCTATCCAAAAATCAGAGCTTTATTGAATGATTAGCCCCCTCTTTCTGTCTTCTATCATTTATCTGTCATCTATTTATGTCTGTCTGTCTGTCTTGTCATCTATCCATCCATCCACCCATCCATCTCTCTCTCATCTCTCTCTCATATCTATCTATCTATCTATCTATCTATCTATCTATCTATCTATCTATCTATCTATCTCCAATACAAGGATAAGGGAAAGCAGCCATTGCAACCGCTTACTTATTACAGTAAACCACGGTTTGCTGTACAGTAAACCATGGCTTGTTGGGCTTAGCTCGACAAGCCATGGTGACCTGGTGTGAACCTCCTGCAAAGCTCTAACAAACCCTAGGAAGGAAGGAAGCCATCACAACCCCTGCAGAGAGAGCACAGCTCCTCCATTTATAACCCCATTTATTTTAAGACTGTATACGCTTCCCTTCCAACTAAGTATTTCCTACTTCCACAAACATTTCAAAAGGGGTTACAACAGGGCGTAACACCAAGGCTCCCTTATCCACGGGAGTCCAAATTTAAGATTTTGTGGACTTCAACTCCCAGAATTAATTCCCCAGCCAGCCACGCTGTCTTCAAAAGCTGCCAAAATTGGAGGCCCTGGCATTAAGAGGGAGCAAGACATTTTGGCAAGTGGAATAGAATAGAATAAAAGAGTTGGAAGGGACCTTGGAGGTCTTCTAGTCCAACCCCCTGCCCAGGCAGGAAACCCTACACCACTTCAGACCAATGGTTATCCAACCTCTTCTTAAAAACCTCCAGTGTTGGGAGCATTCGCAACTTCTGGAGGCAAATTTGTTCCACTGATTAATTGTTCTAATGAAGTGGCTTAATTAATCAGGTTCTAATTAAGTGGCTTTGTCCCCTGAAGAGTTTGCTGCTCAAAAGACAGAACGGAAATCTTTCCGCCCTCCCTTTCTCAACCTGATGTTCCCAGTGGTTTTTGCTGTACTCAGATCCAAACTTCTGGCACAATTTCCAGTGAATAATAATAATTATTATTACCATCATCATCATCATCATCAATATTATTATTGCAAAACGCAACCTGAAATCCGCATTTTCATTTTAGGCATCCGGAACAAACACGGCCTCCTGGCTTGATTCGAACGCAACACTATTAAACTTCAAGGCAAACGACTTGATTTTTACAAACCGGCACTTTTTTTTTTTAAAAAAAAAAGGAAAATCAAGAGAGGCGTGTTTGCTTGCATAATAAACCCCTGCTGCTTCCCTCCCCCGAACTTAGCAAGCGACAAGAAGAGTTGGCAGGTGGATTTGAACCGGGATTTAGGGAAACTTTAGGGCCTGGCAGAGTCAATTTGGCTTTGCCGCAGACGGTGAGTACCCCTTTACTCATCCGGTGTGACTAAACCACCCAGTCTGGTCAATCCAGTTTTCCGATCCTCTAAAATCTTTTCATAGCTACGAGACGAGGATGTATAATTTGCATATACTGTACAGGTATTCTTCAACCCCCATGGTTCGTTTAGTGACCGTTCAAAGTTACAACGGCCCTGAAAAAAAAGGGACTTAATGGCCGGTTTTTCACACTTGCGACTTTTGTCGCCTCCCTGTGATCAAAATTCAGACGCTTGGCAACGGACTCGTACTTATGACCGTTGCTCTGTTCCCAAGGTCTCCTTTTGCGACCTTTTGACAAGCAGAGATTGCCAAAGATTCACTTAATAACCGCGTTACTAACTGATCCACTGCGGCAATTCCCTTAGCAACCGTCACCAAGAAAGTTTGTAAACGGAGGCAAAACTCACTTAACCAATTGTCTGACGTAACGACAGCAATGTTAGGCTCCATTGCAGTCGTTCAGTCGAGGACTACCTGTGTATAATTCCTACGATTCAGAAGGGAAGCACAAAAACAACACTTGCACACACATTTGCACTTATTCTGCCTGGGAGGAGTCACCCGTGTGCAAAAAGTTCAGGAGGAGATTAGCTCTGGATTTGGGAAGAGCTGCAGAAATCAGGCAGTCCTCAAGTTACGGCTGTTCGTTTTAAGAACCATTTGAAATTACAACAGGGTCCATGAAAAATGGCATACCAACACACACCCACACCCCGTAGTCGAGTGATATTTGGCAAATTTGCTTTACGAATGAGGACACAATGAGGACTAGCACCTTGCCTGGCAGCCTCAAGGCCATAAGATGGGCAAACTTCAGCCAAAAAAAAAAAAATTATTCATCTCCACTTGCTTCCTTCCTCTAAATTTCCTTGGCGGGGCGCCTGCAACACCCCGAATTTGGAAAAAGGACAATCTGTAACCTCTCCACCCACTCAGGCTGCCAGCCCTGCGAACACCTGAAGCCGGGAGCGTTTGGGCGACTGGATCCTGACCCAACAAGCTCTGCAGGAAATTCCACCTTGGTTGGGAGGCTTGTCAGGCAACAGGACTGAGTATCGGGTTGCTGCACCGAGCCTGCAGCTCCCTAGCGACAGCCCTGCATGCACACGCACGCAGAGGCTGCAGAAAACGCAACGGAGACCTCTGTTAAATATGCACCTCCCCCCCGCTTCCAGTTCACGGATGCATCGGCAACTAACAGTGACATAAAACAGGGTGTCCAATCTTGCCGAGTTTGAAGACTTGTGGATTTCAACTCCCAGAATTCCCCAACCAGCAATCTTAGTGACGTTAAGACTTGTGGACTTCAACTCCCAGAATTCCCCAGCCAGCAATTTTGACTTGTGGACTTCAACTCCCAGAATTCCTCAGCCAGCAATTTTGTTGACTTGTGGACTTCAACTCCCAGAATTCCCCAGCCAGCAATCTTAGTGATGTTAAGACTTGTGGACTTCAATTCCCAGAATTCCCCAGCCAGCAATTTTGTTGACTTGTGGACTTCAACTCCCAGAATTCCCCAGCCAGCAATTTTGTTGACTTGTGGACTTCAACTCCCAGAATTCTCCAGCCAGCAATTTTGTTGACTTGTGGACTTCAACTCCCAGAATTCCCCAGCCAGCAATTTTGTTGACTTGTGGACTTCAACTCCCAGAATTCCTCAGCCAGCAATTTTGTTGACCTGTGGATTTCAACTCCCAGAATTCCCCAGCCAGCAATTTTGTTGACTTGTGGACTTCAACTCCCAGAATTCTCCAGCCAGCA